TCAGCTACTATTGATACCACCAGCTGCAAACGTATTTCTGCTGTATGGCTACTAGGGAAGTTCTCAGTCCACAGTGGCCAGTGCCACTGAGATTCCTGCTCTATCTGCTAGTTCTTCTCTCTTAGTGTCTAAAGTAACACAGGAAGCCAATGTTACCTTGATTTCTGGACCTTGACACTTTTCTCTACCCTGCCCCTAGCCCTGTGTGGTCTTCCATACTAACCTATTTCTTTCTGCCCTGATGTATCAACATCTGGCCCTTACACATCCCTGCTGAGTATGACAGCCACCGGCCACATGTTGCTATTTATTCAAACCAATATAAGTTAAATATAACAGCCCATACACGTTATGTTTCAAGTGGCTTAAAAGCTACATATAATGCAGACACAGAACATTTCTTTTGTTACCCCAGAACAGCCAAGCTATGGTCAATGTCTCTCCCGACCTGCCCCTTAGCTTGTCTGCCTATTTCAAGCCATATTTCTGCATACTTCAAACCATTCCTGGATTATTTGAGATGCACAATCCAATGTAAATACTATACCAAGTAGCTCATACTACTATTGTTTAAGAAGTGGTGATGTGAAAAGCCAGCGTGAACATTCTCAGTATAGACACTTTGGTTTCATTTGGAAATGAAAAATAAGATGTGTTTTTCTTTTGTCTTTTTGAAACTTGCAGAGGTGGAGAGCCAGCTGAACTTCAGTTCCGAGACGAAGCCATTGAAGGCCCTTCCTCATTAATTTTTATCTCCACCATCACAACGCAAACCCCTCTCTTAACTCTAATTGACTGTACCTCATTGGGTCCCTAGACAGCATCCCTTTCTGAGATACACAGTGGATCTTGGATACAGCTTCTTCTTACCTTAAAGATAAAGGTCAAAGCTACCCATGGGGCAGGAGACCTTTCTCATCAAGTTCCTAGCTCACCACCTTCACCAGCCCCATGTGACTGCCCCTGTCTCATCCCACTTGCCTCAATGAGGTCTCTGACATATGTAAGCCTTATCCCTATACATTCTCTTGTTTAAATCACTCTTTCTTCTCCCTGTACATCTTCATAACACTTACTTATTCTCTGCTCAGGACATCATGCCTGAATCCCAAGGCAAACCTAGGTGGCCCTTCCCCCAAGTCACTGTTACACCAGGGCAAGCTCCACCACAGATCATGTCACACTCAATTTCAGTGTCCCCATTGTATTCCCATTACCCACATGGGGCACCACGAGGGTTGGCAATGTCATGGTATCTGATTTATTCATTGGCCTTGCATTAACAATAATGGCTGTTAATCTTTCTGGGTGCTGGAGGAGATGGAATTAGGCCAGATGCCAAGACTTCTCAGCTAAGCCACTTTTAATTAAAAGATGAGATAGTGTCATATCCTCTCAGCACAGGGTTTTCCAAACTGATTTGTGACCCATAATGGGCAATAGAATCAATATGCTGGGTCATGAGCAACTTTGCAGAAGGCATGGAGCAGAATAGAAAATATCAGAACGTGTTAGACATATTAAAGGTATTTTCCATGAAGTTTTTGTTTCAGTTATGCATATACATGTGAATAATGGGCCATGATGATAAAGTTATCTCTTGCTCTGGCTTACAGTCCCAGAAATGGAAAAATCCCTGTTCCTGATGGTACCTGCTTTTCCTGAAGCAGACAGACAGATTCTGGATCAGCTTCAGAGTGGTTAGGGATTACCTTAAGTGAATAACCTTATGATAGCTCAGTTGTGGCTTTATCTCTAATTATCCTATAATTTTCAGAAATAACTTATTCTTTTACCATGTTCTGCTATCAAGATTATTATGAAGGACACTCTTTTTGCTTAGACGTGTGTACAAGTCTTGCTATGGCCTGGGAGCTCAGAACACCGGAGGTGCCTGGGAAATGCCAGCTTATTGTATAACTACCTGTGGAATGGTTCCACCTCTTTCCAAAAGAAGGCTTTCCAGCTTGTTGGCATTTCATGTTCAACATTCTATCTATCCTTGTGTGCTGGACCTCAGGTATCAAATTTTGTTTGAGATATCTTGATTTGTTCGAGATGTTGATTGGTCGGAAACTTTTTTTATTCATATTGGCTAGGTCAGTGGTTCTCAACCTTCCCAATGCTGCAGCCCTTCACTATAGTTCTCTGTGTTATGATGACCCCAACCATAAGATTATTTTTTTGTTGCTACTCCATAAGTGTAATTTTGCAACTGTTAATGAGTCATAATGTAGATAACCTGATATACCATATCTGTGAAGGTGTCATTTGACCCCCCAAGGGGGTCACAGTTCACAGGTTGAGAACCAGTGGGCTAGGTGCTAGCCTTGTGGTTCCATTGATACATACATACATACATACATACATACATACATACATACATACATGTGTGTGTGTGTGTGTGTGTGTATCAAGCAATCTATCTCCTGGGCCACCATTCTTGGGATCACTGGCATGCACAGTGGCACCTAGCTTCTCATGTGGTCTTAGGATGTATGAACACAGGTCCTTATTCTTGTGAGGCAAGTGCTTTACTGACCGAGACATTTCCCTAGCCCTGATGTTATAGGCTGTGCCTAGAGTCGTTAATAGAGATTAGAGACCTCTACAGTAATTATAAAGATGAGGGTAGACATCCATTTCCTTTTGAGCCCTGATATGGGGAAACCTATCTCGGTATGGTCTGGGAGCTCAGAACACTGGAGGTGCTTGGCAATGTCATTTTGCTGGGTAAGTACCTGAGGAATGGGTCCACCACTTTCTAACTGGAGGCTCTTAAACTTGCTGGTATTTCATTTCTATCTATCTCTCCGGTTGCTTGACCACTGAGGATGGGGGATGTGATCACACATCTGTCTACACTTCCAATGACACAAGAAAGCAACCTGTATCATTATATCCATTTTTCAAGCTATCACAGCTCCCCAGAAATGCCCACATGCTGTAATTTGAAAGATGGCTTAATGTTTTTCATCAGGGGCATTTCCACATCTATGTATGACTCCTTCCCATCAAACAGGAATAACAAAGATGCCCCTGTGCATCAACACACACAGACCGGCCAGGAGGAGGAGTCTGAGACCTGTTCCACAGGGAACCAGGATGACAATGGGGACTGACTGCTACCACAGACTGGAGGGAGAAACTTATGGTTTGTGTTTCCTTTTCAAGAATGGGATTTTTCCCACTATGGGCATTTACCAATTACATAGGAATTAACAGCATTATAAAAATAATACGTATGTATAGATATTCAAAGGTTTTGATTTGTAAAAATATAGAGCCTTATTATTTGAAACCATCTGGTACCATTTTGATGGTCACCCTCCCAATTTTACCTATTTTTCCATAGGTAGACATATTTCATAATCATCTGAAAAATGGAGAGTAAGTCCCTTCTACATGTCTATAAATATTCTTTCTAGAACTTTAATGGGAGCTTGGCTCCTACCAGGATTACAGACTAACACTGATTTAACTAATTCCCTGCTGTTGTGCTGATGGAAAAATGTTTTTACAAACCTCACATTCTTAGTGCTAGATCTTTGTATCCATTCACGACTACACGTTTGCAGTGAGAACTGTATGTTTACTATTAAGGTGCAGGCTACGGATACCCCCTTTCCACTCCCAGTTTCCATGTAAAGTTCACTCAAGTCATTTTTATCTTAGTTTTGGCATAAGGAGAAGAGCGTGACACAGTGGGGCTGGGCCGCCTGTTGGAAACCCACAGTAAATAAATATATTTGAATAACTGGGTGAATAATAAAAGCAATATAAATAATAAGTAATAAAAGGTAATAAAAATAAGATAACTCAAGAAAAATAAACATAATTGAATAACTATAATGAATATTCTGCCTCTTACTCCCAGCAGGTAGTCCAGAAAGAAAGCATATCTCAGGTGGCTCGGCTCAGGGTTTTCTTAATGGAAAGTTTCTTGTCAACTTGACACAAGCTAGAGTCATCTGGAAAGCGAGAGCCTCGATTGCAAAAAAAGCCTCTATCAGGTTGGCCTGTAGGCAAGTCCCGTGGGACATTTTCTTGATTAGTGATTGATGTGTGTGGGCCCAGACCACTATAGGTAGGTGGTGTCACTCTCTTGAATGTAGCCATGCACTGAATAAGAATGCAAAGCAGGCAAGACTATAAACAGTGTTCCTCCTTGGCTTCCGCTTCAGCTCCTGCCTTCCCTCAGTGATAGACGGTGATCCATGTGAGCCAAATAAACCCTTTTCTTCCCCAAGTTGCTTCTGGCCATGGTGTTTATTACAGCAATAGAAAGCAAACTAGGACCAAATTGCACCAGTAAATTTTCCCTCCCCTTTGGAGCCACTGCAGTTTCTCTGTAGCTAATGAAGATTTAGGCAGACATGAGGATCAGGGTTGGTATATGTGACACCAGTGACATCAGACAGGTCTAGAATGGTGGTGTCTGAACTTGGAATAACATTTTCACCATTTAAAGTGATGGTGAGTTTAAATTCGCCAATGGGACAGACCTAGAATCACTCAAGAAAGGAGTTTCAGTGAGGGGCTGTCTGGTTCAAGTTGGCCTACATACATGTCTGTGGGAAACGACACTATTTGAAGTGGGAAGACCCACTTGTTGGGAGTGGCAGTATCTCATGGGATTTGAGTCTTTGACAGTAGACAAATGGGAAAGTGGGTGAGCTGAAGAAAGGTATGTATGGCCTCCTTCTCTTTCTGCCTTACAAGGTGGATGTGACCAGCTGCTTCAAGTCTGTGCTGCCTTGACTTCTGGGAATGACACTGTACTCTGGAATTGTGAGCAAAATAAACCCGTCCTCCCTTCAAATTGCTTGGGTCAGGGTGTTTTATCATTGCAATGGGAAACGAAAGTAGGACACTAATAAAGAAACATGATAGAAAAGGAAAAGAGGCAAACTCAGGAGTGGGGACAGTTACACAGATCCTCACTCACCTGGTAACACATATCCAGCTCATTACGGAGGGCAAAAAGAGGCAATACGTACCCAACAAACGAAGGAGCAGAAAAAGAACTCCCAGCGCGTAAGACTTGAGTTCAGGGCTGACTGTCCTACATAAAAAGAGATGGAGGGGAGAAAAAAAGATTCTTATCAACTCAATTTTAATTCACAGACTCAGAGTTATTTGTTGCTGTCCATCAGATCCTACCTTGGAAGATTATTAATAGGTTTTCTTCTTTTTCTTGCTAAACGTCTAAAAATTGGCTGCAACGGTGGTGCCAAGATAAGTTAGGAATTAAGCCTTCCCCCTCCCCCTTAATAACTTGAGCTGGTAGGACTGGTTGTAAATTCAGTCCTGAAGTCTAAACTTAGAGCAGCGTGTTTCAGTTTCCAGGAGGAAGCACCACCACAGCTAGGTAGGGGATGTGTATGTGGCAACACCAGCTCAGCAAATTCCTGAGTTGCAGCAGGAACCATGAACACCTTCAATGTTCTTGGACTGTTTTGTAAAACCTATCTGATTTGCATGGATTGGCCTTCCAGGTGGGCCAGCTGGGGCACAGGTATGTGCATCAAGTCTGAGTACCTTGTAGTCTTGAAAGGTTGCTTCTCCTAGCCACGGGACTTTGCTTTGAACTGACTCAATCATCCTGACTTGAGTTTGCCATGTATGGTGGATCCCTAAGAATGTTCATACATGTTCTCCAGAATGTAATGTTTTTGAAAGTGAGAGTAATCATAGAGATGGGTTTGGGACATTTTGGATAGGTGGGTGCACACAGCGAATCACACAGTCTTCCCCATAATTCCTCTTACACTCACAGTTAAGAATTATTCAATCCTTGCCTTCTCCTCTAAAGGCTAAGAACTACTTGTACTGTGATTAGCTTTGTGACTCAACCCTAGCTCTGTGTCTAGTACCCAGCCTGTGCTGAGGGAATGCATACGTGGGTGGCAAGCTGGGCAGATGTCTCTGGGCAACCAGTCTTGGAACATATACCCATGGATTTGTATAAAGAACTCTGAGGGATAGTTATTGGACAATATACACACAGGCTTCAAGTGTCACCTCGTATAATCTGTTGCCATTCTGGCTCCTTAGGGAGCAAAGGGATGCATGTGACTGTACTTCTTGAAAGACTTGGCTAGGCATGGAACCAGAACCTTATGGTTTAACCTTGGACATGTTGGAGCATTTCAGTGTGGCTGGCATAACAAGTATAAGGCTATCTATTGACTAGGTGGCTAGAATAAGTGTGTGTGTGTGTGTGTGTGTGTGTGTGTGTGTGTGTGTAGGGCAGGAGTCAGTGTCAGGTGTTTTCGTCAGTCTCATTCTACCTTATTTTTGAGACAGGGTCTTTCACTGAACCTAAGCGCTAAGGCCTCACCTATCCCTGCCCTCCTACTATCAGGCTTATAAAGGAGCCATTGTGCCTGTTTTTCCTGTGGGTGGTGGGAATCTAAACTCAGGGTCTTGCACTTATATGACAGACACTTAACTAACTGAATAATTTTCCCAGGCCCAGAATAATATTGTTAAATGATTCCCAAGGTCATTTATCTATCAACTCACTGGCAGTTATTCAGTGATCTATGACTTGGGTTGAGCCTTGGTGTGCATGCTTTGGGCTTCTTAGTATATAACAGGTCAAATATAACTATCAAACAAAAAATTGGATGTGTATTATAGACTAATTGTCTTCCCCAAATTCTGCCATTCAAGCCTAACCCCTAATTTGATAATGGGGCTTTTGAAAAGTTTAGATGCAGAGCATGGGCCTGTATTGATGGATTAATGTCCTTAGAGATGAAGAACATACCTAAGAGAGGTCTTTTGTCTCTTCACTACCTTGGAACACACGGAAAATTTATGTACTGGAAGTGGCCCTCACCAGTTAACTTAGTCTTGATCTTTAACTTCCTAGTCTCCCAACCTGTGAGGAACAAATTCCTACTGGGTATAAACTACCACATCTATGGTGTTTTGTCACGGTAGTCTAAAAAAGACTATGAAAGAGTAGGTTTTATAATTGTTTCTAGATCCTAAGACTTTCAGTAAAATCTATCTTGGGGAAATGCATATATCTTTTTAATTATAGAGAGTTTGGTACTGCTGAGTGATGCCCCAGGGAAGCATGTTATGACTTCCATTGAGCAGTGGTCTCAGGACTCTGGCTGAGAAAACTAGGTACCAGTTCCAGGTCATGAGATCTGAATCTCTGAGCAGAACGAAGTCTCTTTGGAAGACACACATTACACGAGCCAAGTTCCTCGTGGTGTTCCTGCTCCGTGGCTACAGTTTTGCACTTTCATTTGAAGGTTTAACTTGAAAGACACATAAATAAAGGCAAATCTCCTTATCAAGAAAACATGCTGGTGTAATGAGCTAGGCTATTTATCACTTGGAACGTGATTTCCTTTCAGCTACCATGTCACTGGGAACAAAGTGAGGAAGGTGCTAAGATCTTGCTTCATATCCTGCAGAGAAACTGGTTCCCATAAGGACCACACATCTTAGTTATGAAGACATGGAGGGCTCAGGCAGGATGCTATTGAAAGATCTGCAGAAAAGCAGGGATTCAGGCTTAGCTAGCATCATTAACTTACTGCTTTCGAGACCTCAAGAAAATTGCAGAGCCACTGCTAGGGCAGTTTCTTCATGTGTAAAAGGGAAATATTTACAAGGCTGCAAATACATTAATTTAAAATAAGATCCCAGAGTTGTGCCCTAGCATCACCCAAATGAGCATTTACTTTCCTGGTGGCTTTTTAGCATTCTTTATTAAGACAGTATGTCTGTGCATGTGCATATGCACAATATGCACATATGTATGTGCACACATACATGTGCATGTTTGTGTGTTTAGAGGCCAGAAGATAACTTCAGTGTCATCCTTACAAATGCCATCCATTTCCTTAGAGACAACTTCTGGGCAGCATAGGAATGAGCCCACTGATTAGGGGCAGGGCAAAGGCTGGTAATTTTCTGCTGTGGTCCACCTGGATGGGGTATCCTAATTTCTGCCTAGAATTTCTCTGAGGGCAAGATGCACCGGGGAAGAGATGGAATGATGCATTATGATCCCCTTGCAAGATGAACATGAACAAGTGCTTTAGGTACAAAGGGTTCATAGATGTACCTGAGCACGGGTCACTGAGCATCAATTTTTGACCCATTTAAAGGGAAACCAGAGTGCCCCAAAAAAACTATAAGATCTGTTCATCATGTTGAGGCTTGGAAACGGCTAAAACTTCCACCGCCAAAGTTTTACCACCTAGAATCTAGAGGCGAGGCCTTGGTGGAAACTCACGAGCGAGAAAAAGTGGACCCATCACAACTGATGGTGGTGAGGGGTCCCTCTTCCTGCTTCTGGGTGCCTTCTGTGTGTGAGTATAACCATACAGTTTCAGGAGAATTTCTAATGAAAAATAAACTGTTCATAAAACAGCTACCATAAACCCATACACGAAACCTGAAGGGTTTTGTCCATATGCATATTATACATAATCGCCTTCCATGTATAGTTTCAAATTCAGTGGCTCATTTCAGAAACACTTCACGCGTTCTTAAGATTTTTCATTATTCCTTTGAACTGCAGTTCCATAATTTAACTCACTACTTCAATTCAGGTCTTTCTGCTATTATAGTTAACGCTGTAATAAAAAAAAAATCTGTCTGCATTGAAAGGTTTTTTTTTTTTCTTGTAGAGAGGTATTTTCTTGAGACAAATGGCCACAAATGGGGGTAGGTTACGGCAGGGGCCTGGATATTTTTATGGCTCTTGACTCACACTGGCATATTGCATTTCTGAAAGGACTTTTAGGCTTTTCAATACCACTCGGAAAAACTGACTCGACTTGTTTGGCCACAGCCTTCCAGAGTGCTGGGTATGAATTTGCCGAACTTCCTAAGAATAAGACAGCAATTTGCTACTGGAGCCCTAATGCCTCTGCACACTCATAAGCCACTGCTAATGACCATCTGGGCAACCTGAGCGCTTCCTAGAAATCTACTTTCGGGAGTGTTGCCAGCAAGGAACATGGTAGGGAGGGCTCAAGGAACAGGAACGCTTGGTAAAGCATCTGATGCTGTCTGTGCAAGGAATCAAGGTGGCTCCAAGAACCCCATTTCCATCCCCAGCCCTTGGCCTTGAACTGCCTTGCTTTTACATGTAGTGAGGTAAGCCTTTCTGTGCACTGTGTTCTTTCTTTGGACCCAGATGGACACTAGGATATATATATATATATGTGTGTGTGTGTGTGTGTGTGTGTGTGTATGCTCTTAGAGATGCCTTATTCAAATCAAGATAGCAATAGCATTGTGAATGATGAAGCTCATGACATCATCATCTGCCTCCAGGCCAGCTTCCCAGAGCCAAGGGGCTACAGAATTCTGGGTATCTCCTTGCAGCCACTTACTCATACAAAAGCAATCACGACATGCATGCCATAGGTCCCTTGGCATGGTTAACCTCTATGTCTCTAGAGCGGCTTGCCCACATGACCTGGAAGGGTCCAGAGCATGGCGAAGGCAGGCAGGATGAGTGCCACTGTCTGTGTAACAGGTTCAGAAACAAGTCTGGGGGCCATGTTGTATCTAGGTATATGGCTGTTTGACAGAAGGACAAGGCTCGGACAAAAGACCTTGGCTCATTTAATGCCATTTGTGTGTGTGTGTGTGTGTGTGTGTGTGTACAGGTCAGAGGACAACCTTGAATGTTGTTTCATACCACCTTTGGTTTTGAGACAAGGTCTCTCACTGGCCTAAAACTTCCCTGAATAGACTAACTAACAATTCCGGAAGCTTCCAGGGATCTACTTGTCTCTCTCATCTCACTACCATAATGATTATAAGCAAGACCTACTATATCCAGGTTTGATATAGGTTACAGGGAATGAACTCAGTCCCATGCTTGTGAGGCAGGAACACCAACTGGGCCATCTCCCCAGCCCACTATTTTAATTTTATTTCACCAACACCAAAAAAGATCAGTGTAGAATGCTTTTCAAAGTCACCTCATTGGTTATTCCCGGGAGGCTATGGAAGTGGCCTTCTGGCCTGTTGAGCTATGAAGTCTCAACTGGGGGAAGGCTTAGAATTGTTTCCTCTTAGCCTACAACTGCTGTGTTCCTGGCTGCGGCCTCCTCTCACCTTGCTTGCAAGACTCACACAGCTCTGATGCTCAGGAGCCCTGCCGATGTGTGCCGGGTGGAAGGGCATAGGCCAGGACGACTCTCAGGGACTTGGGTCTCAGTGGACAGCTTACCTGATGAGGATGATGACAGAAGGGGTTTGGGCCATGGCTCCGATCAGGCTGCACACACACATCACACAGAGGAAGGTTAGGAAGGCCTCCTGGCACCCAGGACTGGGACATTTCCCTGGAACCACGGTGGCATTCTCCGGGGGGACGGTGGTGAGGCACGCACAGCCTGTGAGGTTCTGAAAGGGAAGGGTTCAGCCATTTAAACTAGGGGTGTCTCTGGTTTCCACACCCAAGGCAATCCATCAGCCAGCCTGTCACAACCTAATTATACATTCTGTGGCGTTCCATTAATTGGGCCTGAATAAACGAGTTAGCGTTTTTCTTTTCTTTTCTTTTTTTTTTAAAGGCGGCTGCAAGAACACATGCAAATAAAGTAATATTTATGGGAAGGCGAGCTGGATTCCCTGTCTCCTGTGTATTTCTTTTCCATTCTCAAGAAACCTTCAATAAGCTGCAGTGTAGATAAATGTGTCCCCCCCAATACAATTAGAGAGGAAATTGTGCTTCCACAATATGATAAAACATTGCCAAATTAACATCGTAATTACTTGCCAATTTGTCTTCCCTTTATGCAGTTATAATTACACCGAAGTGTATTAAAAGAAGTAAATCAGGTAACCCACATACTGTTGCTGGTTCAGTGCCTGGCATGGCACTCAGAACAAAGGACACACGCTGTCATGCGTGAAGCCACTGTGCCTGGGAGACCCTGATGACAGAAGGAACCTGGGAAACTTGTCCAGTGGCTGAGGAAGCAAAGGGCGCTAAGAGATTCCCGGCAGCTGACAGCAGCTCACGGGGAGCAGAGCAAGAGGCCTGACGGGATACATTTATTAATATATGATCAGAGAGGAGAAAGAAAAGCGACCACGTTCCATTTGATCTTCTGAGAGGCTCTGGATCAGCAGTCCCTGTTCCCAAGCAAGGCTCGCTCTCTCATACTCTCCTGCAAGCTTGCTAGCTTGCTCCAGGAATTTCTGATCGCAGAGGGAGGAGCAGGGGCTGGAGGAGGCTGTTCAGAGTGCCAAGCCAATTAAGGCTCGATAAGAATAGTGCAGAGGCCTTTAATGAATACAAAGCGAAAACAATCATAAATGATTCATTGCTTTCCTTTCCAGAGCTGATTGGCTTTCTGAGCGCATGCCTAGCAGGTAAACACTCCTGAGGGGTCAGGCAAATTCCCTATAAAGCCTGTGTTTCTTCTCTTCTGCCCTTCTCCCTTCGTGCCTGTTCCTCTCCTCTTTCCTCCTGCTCTCCCTTTCTTTCACCACAGGATGTATTCCAGACATGGGGTACCTTGTTCCATATGAGATAGCTACAGCAGTGTCCCAAACACTGTAAGTACTAGGGCTTCCCTGCATGATTGTTTGGAATACATGGTACCTGCTGGCTGTACATCTTCTAAATAGTGTGCCCAGGGTGGGTATCTATGTAAATTGTCCTGTTATGTACCTGGGTGTTTATGTCAATTCCCAGGTACTGGGGCCTGATACCTGTCCCTTACGCCTTAACCAATACTTGGAGGCTTTACCTGGCTTTTCACGAGACCTACCATAGATACCACATCCCTCTAGATGAGCAGCTCCCCTCCTCCTCCCATGGACCCCCTTGAGCCCTGCCCTACACCTGCCCTACAGAGGATATGGGACCTGTCAGTCAGGAACATCCTGGGACACATTCTTAAAACATTTCCTTGCATAATTCGGCAGGACACTAAATGAGATGCAGTAGACAGTTTCAGAATGCACAGGTGGCCAGATTGGTCTCTGCCTTTACCAGGAAGCAGGCTTCTCTCCAGCTACAGCTCACCAGGCTATCCCAGCCTCTACTAAGAGAAGTGTATGTGGGATGATCAGAGGTCACAGACAAGCTTCTCCAGCTGCTGATACTCGTTGGCCACAGCTCCTTACTGGCCCCGTTCTCATCTCATTCTGACTGGCTTCTCTCTCCACCAGTATGAGTCAGATCTCGTGAAGTTCCCCGTTGGCATCCACCTCCCTAGCCCAACCATCCATTCTCCTCAGCTCTGTCACTCCCCATCTCCATTGTCTCCATTCTTTGGTTCTTTGGATTCCCCTTTTCTTTTCTGGCTACACTTTGTCCATCTTTCTTGACATCGTTTCCTCTTTCCCATGGTAACATGGCTACAGGCTGGACTTCCTTCCCTTCTTACGCCTCATTTTTCTATATGTCAACGACTCATCGACTTTATCTCTAGTCTACATTCCCCTTGGATACTCGATATCTCCCTTCCTGGCACACAGGCATGTTGTGGTGTCAAGATGAGCTTACATGCTTCACACATTTTCCCTTACAAGGCTGCACGATGCATGCAGAGTTCCCTCTCTAGCGTGGATGAGAGCTAGATAGGAAAGAAACACAGCATGGTGTAGAAGCCAGGAGTCGCAGGAGATCAGCACACACTACCCCAAAATATGCCTCCTTGGCACAAGGACTAGTTTGAGCTGATCATTTGAAGACATTTATACATACAGGAGAAAGTGGGACAACACAGAAGTCACCAGGTTTTTAAACAGAAATTTACAGTCAGTGGTTCCTTAATATCCAAAGATATTGGGTGCCAGGATACCATACAGACACCAGAATCTATAGATATCTGAGTCCCTGATTAAAAAAAATGGTATAGAACCTATCCACCTCCTTCTGTATACATAAAATCATCTCTAGGTGACTTTATATCTAATGTCAGCACAATGGATACGGTCATTACACTGTATTCATTGCTTAGGGAATGTATACAATTTCTGTACAGATTTAGTGCAGATACAATTCCCCCAATCATCTGCAGTTCACTGAAGCCACAGGTATGAAAATTATGTATGCAAGGTCCTGTCATATAATGTTGTATTTGTACTTAATGAGACATGTAGTCTGGCTTTGTTGCTCAGACTGGTTTCAGACTCCTGGGATCAAATGATCCTGTATCTGTAGTCACCTTAGTAGTCAGAACTACAGGCTGTGCTGGCCCAGATATCTCCATCTGTAGAGGTATCTCCTTTCTGACCTAGGAAAAGGGGATGACAGAGAAGGTTCTAACCAACCTAGATCCACAGAACAAATCCTTTGTTGCCTATGCTTTCCCTGGGTCACTTCCCATACCCCTTTCTGTTTAAGCCTGGATTTGAAGCTGCCTCTGTGTGTGATTCACTCATTTCCCTGGGTACCTCCCATGTATCTCAATGCATATGGTGTGGATACTCCTATCTGTTCTGATTACTATGTCCTTTACTAGAGGCATCCATTTCAGCTAGGAGCCACAAAGGGTGGAGAGACAATCACTTTCCCTCCCCTATGAAGTACAGAAGAAGCACTACCCTCAGAAGGCCATTGGATGGAACTCAGGCTGGATACAAAGGAGCAAAGACTCTGGCTTTCCATGGTACTCCTTCTGGACACTCACAGGATTCTGCTGCTGACCAGCAGAACAGCCATGATACCCCTTGTGATCTAGCTCCTCAGGTCTCTCCCTACATACTCCATTCTGGTCCTGCACCAGAGCAAGCTCAGGAATACAGTTTATGGTTGGATATAGCTTCTTGAGTTTTGCAATCAGTCCTAACTCACCATGAAGCCAGTTCATCTCCTCTCTACCATTTCACTTCTTCCAGAGCTTCGCCCCCTCCTACTCTTTCCTGCTCCAATTTCTGTATTGAGCCTCTGCTTTTCCAAACACATGTATGGCCTGTTTCTCTGCCCAATCCAGATGACACTTCCCATTCTTATCATTAGTAATGGTGACCAACGCCCTAGGAGCCAGGTGATTATTTGATACCAGCCACCTTCACATCAAACTCCTTTCCTCCTGACGCTGAGGCTAACAAAGAGAGTCTGTTATAGTTTTGTTACCTAATATACTCTCATTTGTACCAGACAGGTTTTGGCTGACAATAGACACTCAGAAAATGTTTTGAATGAATTACCTGAGTCCTGATGCCTTCCATATCCTAAAAGGGTCTAAACCCTGACCTAGGTCCAGCTGTTCTCCTCATTCCCTTTGATCACTTGGCTGGGAAGACATCTGTGACTGGAAGCTTGTGACTGCAGCCTTATAATCACATGGACTTGGAATGACTAAGTATAAATGGGGAACAGTCCCTCTGTGTGTGTGTATGTGTGTGTGTGTGTGTGTGTGTGTGTGTTCGAAATGCCTCAAGAGCCAAATGCTGGTTTGTATGGCTTCTGGAGAAACACATGGGAATCTGTTAGGCGAACTTGCAACTCAGTGATCAAGCCAGAACCCCGAGAGTAAGCCATGCGACTTTTGTTTGGTTTATCATGTCGTCTTGGTATCTATCCTTATTTTGGACCTACACATAAGCTAAAACCCACTATATTACATTTGACAAAAAAATATGATGTCACTGGGGAGATAGCTCAGTTGGTATAGTGCTTGGTGCTCAAACATGAAGAGTTGGATAAAATATATGTATTTAAAAGATATGTACAAGAAAGAGTTTTGCCTCTATATATGTATGTACACTTTGTGTATGCAATGCCCATGGAGTCTAGAAGAGAGCACTGAATCCTCTGAAACTGGACGTACAGATGCTTGTGAACCATCCTTCGAGTGCTGGGAACTGAACTTGGGTCTTCTGCAAGAGCAACAATTGCTCCTAACCTCCAGGTCATCTCTCCAACCCCAGGGACCTGGATTTATTTCTCAGCACCAATGTATAAAGCTGGGAATGGCGGCGGATGTTTGTAATCCCAGCCCAGTGGTTGACAGAAACAGGTAGATCCCTGGGGATTACTGGCAAGCCAGCCTAGCTAGATTGGAAAATCCTACGTCCTAGTGAAAGATCTCCAATAGTCTCTAAGGCAATGAGATAAATGTGGTATCTTTACAGAGCCCCATGTAGATGAACTAACCATCTATCCAGCTGACACGCCATGAGAAGAGCAAGGAAGTAGTGCTGTCGGATGCTGACATTTGTCACTAAGGCAAGGGAGAATAGAGACAGGCAGGGCACAGAGCTAGGGCAGGGGTGGGGAACAAGCAGATCTGGCCAAGGATGAATGTGAATATGAGTGTCCTCTTTAAATTTGTATTTTCAAACCTAACCACTGAGGAGGATGAAGCCACTGGGTGGGCAGGGTGAAGTCATGAAGATAGAACCCACGTGAATGAGTATTTTTATAAATGATACCCCAGAGA